CAGAATGAGTTAGACTGCAAGAATATATGCCTCTAAGTTAGTAGGTAAATTTACACAGATTTTTTTGCCAGTAGGGATATTCGGTATAAAATTCGTATGTGTAAATATTAGTATATATTTTTTTAATATCTTAATTATAAACAAATATCCGCATTATTTACATATAACCTTATTTAGTCTTAGCTCAAGGAACGCATTCATTTCTGACACCTCACTTTAACCAGATACGATTAATTATTTTTAAAGCCAGTTGATATCCTTTCTTTTATGGCAAGGAATGATCATCCTATTGGAGGTGTATTCCGGACAAGAGGGGATTTTTTTAGATAATAATATTGCATGTGAACTCATCAATTCGCACAGCTAACTTTACTTTCGGGTCCCTTAACTACACTGCACATTTATTTGGATAGGCTATAAGTTAGGCTAATAACACTTTGAGGAGCACTACAATTAATTTCGCTATATCTTATCCCAAGCGTTATAGTGCTGTGATTATACTATAAAAATCTCATAGCTCAGTGAAGATACAATTTAATTAAGATTTAACTACGAGTATATATATAAATATTAAACATTTATGCCATTTTTTAGGAGCATCCATCTAGGCATTTGTTGTCAGATTCTGCCTTGTTTTCAAGACTGAAGGCCCCATCCTCCGACAGAGATATCGACCTTCTTATATCCAAAGATCATTTCTCCAGCAGTGTGTCTGCAACTCTATCTCCAATTTCAGAGCCCATAACTCGCCCCTTTGGTGACTCAGAAATTATGACAAGCATTGAGGATATTGCAGAAGAGGCGGAAGATCTTTCACTCATCGCAGAGCATGCAAATGCTTTGATTATTGAAAGCTTTACAAGTGAAGATGATTCTTACGATAAAACGCCTTGTCTAGTAAAGCCCCAATTGTTTCGCACCATTAGCAATGCAAACGATAGGCTGAACAAAAATGTTTTGGATGATGCCAGTCTACAGAACGCACAAACCTTGAGTAATGACCTGAAAATGATCCAAAAGAAGGATAATAGTCATATTCGCAGATTGAGTTTTAAGAATTTAAGATCAACTGACAAAGATTCAACCGAAGATGACAGTAGTAGGTTTGATGAAGCCTTTAGCAACAGAAAGGTTTGGCTCGAAAGAAATTCCAACGAAGAGAAAGATAAATTAACTGATGAGGACAATACAGAGGAAAAAGAATCTCCACATCAATTTTTCTCTTTATATAGCCTGGACTCCAAGGCAGCGGAGCAAGTTGATTCGGCTTGTGACATTTTTGACTTTGCAGGTGCCATAAGTTCAGCGGAGTCTGGTTCAAAAGAGTCCCAATATTTCTCTCCGGTTTTCGGCGATCCGAATATGAAAAATTCAGGATTAGAAAAAAACAGGATTTTGAATAAATCAGGTTTGGATAAATTAGATTTATTTGAAACACAGTGGCCGACGTTAGAACAGGTAAACTCTAAAAGATATCAACTTGCAGAGGGCTCCAAGAGTAAAAACAGTTGTGTGGAGGATGCAGAGGCAAAGAGATCTGCTGTTTCCCTCTTCCATGCATTTCACAGCAATGATAGCCGGAATACAGCTTTTCCTGACTTAAAAAGGGCTGAAATGTATCAAAATAATTCAAAAGAAGAGAGTATGAATTGGTGCCTGCCATCTAGTCAAGAGGCAAGGCATATTCTTTATGAATATTCTATTATAATGAATAAGAGTTTTAGCATATACATTAAATATACAAAGTTTTCTTCATATAACTGTCCTAATATCTAAGACCCATTTGTATTTTGCAATTGGTTTTCCCAGAAATTTATCTCACCTATTTTTAGCAACTTTGAACGGAACTTGTCATCATAATCTTAATTTAAGTAATCTTTTATTCATTGTTTCAGCTAGAGGATCGTCACATTATTTCTAAAAGTATACGTAATAAAATTAACTCACCAAAATAACTATTTTAGTAGACTTTTAAAAGTCAAAATTAATTCAGATTTTAGTGAAGTTTAGAACTTGAAGATAATAGTATAAATTATTTAAAACGTTTTTCAAGATAAGCCTCTATGTCTATAGTCAAAGTATTTAAGTATCTTTAACATCGAAACTATGCAATTTAATCTCAGAGGACAGTATTCTGGATATGAAGGAAAAATAATCACAATGAGGACTGATCAAAATATTTGAGCAAATTCGACCAATTAGTTTGAACTCAACTGGAGATAAACCACATTCGAATTTTCTATATGCTACCTCGACCAGGCCATACATCGTGAAAGGAGGATAGGTAAATCTAACACAGTGTGCTTCTATGTTTTACCTGTTGGTCAAATTACTTGAAATTGCAAGTCGATTATTGCCATTCATCAGGAGAGTTTATGAAACCGAATCCAATTGGTAAAATGCCCTTAAGGGTTTTCCTCGTTACAG